GTTTGTTTGTTTGTGTGTTGATTGTTTGTTTGTTTGTGTGTTTGTTTGTGTGTTTGTTTGTTTGTTTGTTTGTGTGTTTGTTTGTTTGTTTGTTTGTGTGTTTGTTTGTTTGTTTGTGTGTTTGTGTGTTTGTTTGTTTGTGTGTTTGTGTGTGTGTTTGTTTGTGTGTGTGTGTGTTTGTGTGTTTGTGCTCAGGCCCAGCTGCTGGAGCTGAGGACTCAGAACTACCAGCTCTCTGATGATCTCAGGAAGAACTCAGCAGGTAAAGGCTTTAGTTCTGTTTGTCCTGCAGGACCCGGGTCTTCAGGGACCAGAATCTGTGGTTCTGTCAGATCCAGTCCTGGTCCAGAGGAGCTGCTGTTGTTCAGAGTTAATAAAACTTTGTGTTTCAGAACTGAACGCTGTTCGACTGAAGAACGTCAACCTGGAGAGAGATTTTATCAAAGCACAGAAGGTAATCATTAGTTAATAATCAATTACTAATGATTGTTATCAGTTATTAATGAACATTAATAATCTAATAAACATTAAACATCAGTTATAATGATTAATGACATGTTATTAACATTTATAATCAGTTATTAGTCTGTATCAGTCTGCTCATCTGTGTTTTTATTTTTCAGGCTTTGAATAAAAGTAAAAAAGCTCAGGTGAGTGTTTCCTGTTGGAGACAGGTTATTGTGACAGGAAGTGAAGTCTACTTCCTGGTGTTGGAGTGAAGTGTGTTTTATGACCTGTGTCCTACAGGAAGTGGACGCCTTGCTGAGTGAGAACGAGATGCTGCAGGGGAAACTCCACAGTCAGGAGGAAGACTTCCGTCTGCAGAACACCACCCTGATGACAGAACTGTCCAAGGTTCCACTCTGAGTCTCTGAGTCTCTGAGTCTTTTCCTCTTTGAGTCTTTTCCTCTCTGTGTCTTTTCCTCTCTGTGTCTTTTCCTCTCTGAGTCTCTGAGTCTTTTCCTCTCTGAGTCTCTGAGTCTTTTCCTCTCTGAGTCTCTGAGTCTTTTCCTCTCTGAGTCTCTGAGTCTTTTCCTCTCTGAGTCTCTGAGTCTTTTCCTCTTTGAGTCTTTTCCTCTTTGGGTCTTTTCCTCTCTGAGTCTTTTCCTCTCTGAGTCTCTGAGTCTCTGAGTCTTTTCCTCTCTGAGTCTCTGAGTCTCTGAGTCTTTTCCTCTTTGAGTCTTTTCCTCTCTGAGTCTCTGAGTCTTTTCCTCTTTGAGTCTTTTCCTCTCTGAGTCTTTTCCTCTTTGAGTCTTTTCCTCTCTGAGTCTCTGAGTCTTTTCCTCTCTGAGTCTTTTCCTCTCTGAGTCTTTTCCTCTCTGAGTCCCTGAGTCTTTTAGTCTCTGAGTGCAAGCCTCTGAGTCTCTGAGTTCCTGAGTCCTTGATTCCATGAGTCTCTTCAGTCCTCGAGTCTCTGAGTCTCAGTCTATGGGTCTCTGATTCCCTGAGTCCCTGAATCTCCGAGTCTCTGGGTCTGAGGCTGGGTATCTGAGTCTCTGACTCTGAGTCTCTGTGAATCTGAATCTGAGTCTGAGTCTCTGGGACTCTGAGTCCATGAGTCACTGAGTCACTGAGTCTGAGTCCTGCTGTCTCATGAAACCTGTTCTGGTGTCATGTTTTTCAGCTGTGCACACAGATCGAGCAGCTGGAACAGGAGAACCAGAACTTAAAGGATGGGGGTGGAGCCTCTGTAACCAGTCCACCTCTTAACTCCGCCTCCAGCCCTGCAGATGGAGAACTGCTCCGCCTCCAAGCTGAAAACTCCACCCTGCAAAAGAAATTAAAAGGTAAGTCTGCTGTTAGAGGTGGACCTGGTCCAGACGTCTGGGATGGATCTGGTCCAGGTTGAAGAACCTCCTCCTGATCCTGACCTGCTCTCCTGCAGTCCTTCAGGAACGGTTCGACGTGGATCTGCAGCGGCAGACTGTCGCCCACAGCAACCAGAGCGCCGCCACCGAGACTGACCAATCAGCTGACACCAATGGTGATGTCACAACAGGTGGAGAGGAGGCGGGGTCAGATGGATCCAATAAGAGATCAGGACAGGTGAGCAGAACCAACCTGAGCTGCAGCACATCAGACTGGGTTCAGTTTTAGATGATTGTTTTGTTTTTGTTTACAGCGTCAGCACACAGACCAACAGCTACACGGTGAGTTTGATCATTAGTAACAATATTAAACTAGTAGAGCAACACAAAAATAACTCTAAAATAGTTTTAATTAAAGGTTTATTTACTGAAAACACTGAATCTACTAAAGGTTTTACATTCTGGTGAAACCACATTTAAACTGGTTTATTTTGTGGTGCTCTGATACACACGGTTGTTCTGGTTCTCTTACTGTGAAAAGTGATTCCTTAGTTTTTAAACAGTTTGACCCTGAGTCTGAAACTTCCTGTTATAAATTCACCTGAACCTGTCTGTCTGAACGCTGCCTTTGGTTTCTGAGCGTAGAGCAGGTTCTAGTCAGATCAGGACAGACACACACTGCAGCTGACTTCACAACAGTTTGCTTCAAACATTCGGAGGATTTTAATCCAGGATTAAACCTAAACTCTGTGGTACTAAAGTGTTACTGATGCTCAAAGACACTTATCCTGTTGCTACAAGCTCTGCTCCTGTCGTAGGGGGCCGAGGATTTTGATAGGCAGGGCAAACGGTGCTGTTGACAGAGTGGAACACACTCTGTGCATAATGAGAAACACTGATCTTACTAAGTATAATTGTTGGCAATGAACACATTGGTGCTAAAGAACACAATGATACCAACAAACGTTACCAACAAGACACAAACGCTACCAACAAGGTAGGCCTGCACAATATATCGCTAATTTATCGTCATCGCAATAACATCCTGTGCAATAGGCATATCGCAAAAAATGCGTAAATTGCAAGAAATGGTTGACTTTAATGTTTGAATTTATGTGTTTTGAATGTTTGAATTTGTGTTTTGTCACTCACTTTTGCATGAAAGAGATATTTACCAAAAATAAGAGATCCCTTGATAAATAATTTCCTTATAACTTTCGTTATAAGTGGTGTAAGAAAACCTTACATATTGGTAAGTTATCCTTTACATGTGTTTTGAATGTTTGAATTTGTGTTTTGTCAGCATCAGTCTGCTAAGCAAAGTGGACCAGAGATACTACATCAAACCATAATCACTCTGTCATGTTGTAGTTGAAATGTATTACTTGTTTTTTGCTCTGAACCCAAAGCAGAAAGACACCAACACTGCATAATTTTGTATTTTTTTCATTTATCACAATTCATATCGTAATCGCAACATTAAGCACTGTTATTGCACATCGCAGGTTTTCCTGATATTGTAGCACCCTACAACAAAGCACGAAAGATACCAACAAACGTTACCAACAAAGCTCGAACGTTACCAATGGTTGTTACCGGTGAACGTTACCAGTGAACGTTACCAGTGAACGTTACCAGTGAACGTTGCCAATGAACATTCACTGTTACGACAGTGAACGTTACCAGGGAACGTTACCAATGAACTTTACCAATGAATGTTACCAGTGAACGTTACCAGTGAACGTTGCCAATGAACGTTACCAGTGAACATTCACTGTTACGACAGTGAACGTTACCAGGGAACGTTACCAGGGAACGTTACCAATGAACGTTACCAATGAATGTTACCAGTGAACGTTGCCAATGAACGTTACCAGTGAACATTGCCAATGAACATTACCGGTGAACGTTACCAGTGAACGTTGCCAGTGAACGTTGCCAGTGAACGTTGCCAGTGAACGTTGCCAGTGAACGTTACCAGTGAACGTTGTCAATGAACGTTACCAGTGAACGTTACCAATGAACGTTACCAGAGAACATTGCCAATGAACAGTACCAGTGAACGTTACCAGTGAACATTGCCAATGAACGTTACCAATGAATGTTACCAGTGAACATTGCCAATGAACAGTACCAGTGAATGTTACCAGTGAACATTGCCAATGAACGTTACCAGTGAACATCGCCAATGAACGTTACCAGTGAACATCGCCAATGAACGTTACCAGTGAACATCGCCAATGAACGTTACCAGTGAAAGTTGCCAATGAACAGTACAGTGAACGTTACCAGTGAACATTGCCAATGAACGTTACCAATGAACCTTACCAGTGAACATCGCCAATGAACAGTACAGTGAACGTTACCAGTGAACATTGCCAATGAACGTTACCAATGAACGTTACCAGTGAACATCGCCAATGAACAGTACAGTGAACATTACCAGTGAACATCGCCAATGAACAGTACAGTGAACGTTACCAGTGAACATTGCCAATGAACGTTACCAATGAA